GCAATCTTGCAGCATTCTGGCCCTGTGCTTTGGTGAGTTGGTGTGATGGCCAAGACTTAGGCAACGGCACACAGCTCAGCCATCGGCTGATTTTTTTGGTTGTAAGTAATATTTTCTCCAGTTAGGAATGAGGAAGGTTTGGAGAAGTGTGTGCTAAGAGCAGAGGAAAGCAGGCAGCTGCAGGGTTGGGCTGGGCTCCCTCCTTATCAGGGGAGATGCTCCCCCAGCCTTGCTGTGCAGAATGCACAAGGCTCTTTTTCTGCCCATGTACATTTGTGCTGCAGTGCCAGTCCATGCATGCTGCTCGGGGCAGGGCACAGCACACACGAAGAACTTCACACACCAGTTCTGCAGAAGGCTGTCTGCGTTTTCTCAGTGATTCCAGTGTGAAAATATGACATAGGAGTTTGCACTCCGCATTTGCAGCTCGTGAGCTGTACTGGCCTCTTCCTCCCATGAGGCTGTCCACGGGCTGCTAATGGCTCCAGGGAGGAATGCTCCAGCCCTGGCTGTGGTCGCTCAGGGAGTTCTGCTCTCAGCGCAGTGTGCTGCATGAATGTTTCCTCACATTTGCCAGCACAGAAGCTGTTCTGGAGAGGGGAAAGGCATTGACTGAGCTAATGCCATTAACTGCCCTTAAGCACACACAGAGGACGCAAAAGCAAACACCGCGGTGTTCTCAGAGCAGCCTGCAGGGCTCTGGACTGCACTGCTGCAGCTGGGACACGACCTGTGCTCTGGGGGAGCTGGGACAGGCAGGGGTGCATGAGGTCCCCAGAGGAAGGGCTGCCTGCAGCTCAGTTCGGGGGCAGCACGACAGCATTTTCCCTGCCACTTTCACCCTCTTTGCCTCCACCTCGAATTCCCGTGATCTCCTCCCTGCGGAGCACAGCACTGCACTGCACTGCCCTCCTCACACTGAGGCAGTTCCGCAGCTGCTCGCTGGTGCGGTGGCAGTTCTGCAATGTTTTAATGAGATATTTACAACTTGCACTAGGCACTCACACTGGCTCCAGTGGTTGGGCTCCTGGGCAACATTCCTGCAGCTTGCCTGATTGCAGCATAGGGGAAAACGCGTAGACGTCACAAGTGCCACATTAATTATCTCTTAATTGATACCTCCACTTGGGGATGAAACCAGAACATCTCTACTGCTCTGGGAGCTGCTGCTTGCAAACAGATTTACAGCTAAAAATACCCTGGTGGCTCCGTGGTCAATCTATTGCACTGCTTACCCTGGGCAGCTTATGAAATTCTCAGGTGTGAGCAGCAAGGGTCCTGCGCTGCCATTTGTGGCACTGCCTGGCTGCAAACCCTGCAATGGGGATGGCACAGGTGCAGGCAGCCTCAGGGATTGCTCCTGGCGAGCCTCAGTGGTGTTAACAGCAACAGCAATGGCACAAGAGCTGTGACCCAGCGACAGGGAGCAGCAGACACGAGGCCTCGTGCACGTTGCCGTCCCTATCGTTAGAGGCAATCTCAGCCGTGTGTCTCAGAGCTGACCTTAAGCATTCTCCCGGTGAGTTTCCGCACTGTGACATCCCCACCCCGTGCAGGACACGTCGCTCTGCCCCGCCAGCTCCTTCCAGCAACGCACATAAATAAGGTCACACAGCCGCAGCCACCTCACTTATTTTAAATTACTGTCATCTTTATTTTCATCACGAATGTGCAAACAGAGGAGATCGCGATGGTGGTGTTCTTAAAAATAACCAAATGTATTTGCATACATTTCCCTATGTACAGGTGAACAGCCACGAGTAGAGTTTTCTTTTGCACAGCAAAAGATCTAGAGCACTGAGACCGGGGGCAGGACCGGGGCCCAAAAAAAGTCTAAATTAAAAACGGTCATAAAAAAATAAATTCACAACAGTGCAAACCTCTCGGACACGACAGCACGATGGAGTGATTTTAATGTAGAAAACGGCCCCCCCACCC